AAATCAGAAACAATGGTTCAACTGTCTTTGCTGGGAGAAAAATAGGATGATTCTGCAAGCTTGTTGAAAAGCTTTTGAAATTAAGATGCTTCAGACTCTGGGTCTGTTGGACTTAACTTGGAGTTCTCGTGATCAAGTGATCATTTTGAGTGTTTGTCTTTTGACTGGGTTTTGGTTGAGTTGGTTGGTTGTCTGAAACAAGCGGCCTAGGAGATGGTGTGGGTTTTCGGCGTGCCAAATTTGGGCCCAAACAACTGCCCTATAATATTACTTATCGAATTACACGACGCATTTTTCTTCAAAAAGATGAATCACGTCATTTCCAATTTACCCAACGACCTTATACTCAATAATGACCTTATATTCAATAATAACCACGTCGTTTTAATTACTCATACCGACGTGTAATGTTTTTAATTACACAATAATTTAATTTTCCAAAAAATTACAACGTCGTTTTTATATAGCGTCGTTGTTAATAATTTATACGACCTTATTTTAAATTTAAACGACGTGTATGTTATATATAGACGTCCTGTTATCTTATAAACGTCGATAATTTAAAAAAACCGACGTGGTATATAAGATTTTTTTATAAATAATGGGTTTTCTGTCTTTCTGTCGTCTTCATTTTTCAATTAGGGTTTCAACTTTTTCTCAATTCTCTGGAGGCACATCACCTCTCTGTCTCATCTCGCTTTCATTTTTCAGTTTGGATGTTGATGTGTGTGCGCGTTTGTGTATCTGAAAGACTCAAACACGCACACATCATCTAAAAAATTGTCTTTCTGCACAGAAGGAGATCAAGGTCTGCATCAGCCCTCTTTCTCAGCTCCTCCATGATGGGGTTCTCTGGGTTGATCTCCATGGTCTTCTTGCTCGACATGTACCCAGCCGCTCTGTTATCCCTCAAGGCTTGAGCCTTCATGATTCTTTCCATGTTGGTAGTCCAGCACGGTCAGACGGTCAGACACCACAACCTTCTCCACTCTGTCACCCAAAACATCCTTCACAACCTTGCAGAGTCCCTCGAACTTCTCCTTCAACTCTTCCTTCTTCTTTGCCTCGTCTTCACTCTCATCAAGTTTGAGACCTTCTTTGGCGGCTGAGACAAGCTTCTTGCCCTCAAACTCCTTGTGAGAGTAATTGGCACATCATCCACTTCTAAAACATTGCCTTTGTTCATTCTGGTTCGATTATGATGAGGAATAGAGTTCATTCTGGTAATGATAGACGAATAATGGTAAAAAATTTGTACGTCGTTAATTTAACAAACCGTCGTGGTTAGTGAAATTATGTGACGGTAGAGTTATGGATACCGTCGTAGTATAGTATAATTAAAAAGTCGATAAATTTATATTTACAGTCGTGGTAACTTAATTTAAATCGGCGATTTTTTTTGTAATTAACCGTCGTAGATTCCTTTGAATTTATGCGTCGCTGACTAAGAAAATTGGGTCGTGTTTATTAATTAATTAACACGGCGTCTTATTTTTATATCGTCGTCTTTACTTTCTACGGCGGTGATTTCATAGATGTAGTCGTTGTTTTTAGGTTCAGATTTTAACTCCCAAAAATACCTTTGTAATAAGATGACGCTTGTTTAATTCTGTGCGTCGTGGTTTAAAAATATGTTTACGAGTACCGGTTTGTTAGGTGTGTAAAGTATGTTTCTACGACGGGTTTATATTACCGTCGTCTTTTAAAAAACAACGACGGTTGTTTGATATACCGTCGTTGTTTACTGGTCGTCTTTTGCCCTTTTTGTAGTAGTGGGGAGAAGGGGAGGAAGGGATGGAGGGAAGGAAGAACACTGGCTTCCTCCCCTCTCAAAGTGAAAACGGCTCTGGAGTATTTTTTGGGAGAGAGGAGGCTAGAGTTTTCTTGGGAATTTCATTAAAATCAAGTTTTTATTTTTGCAAATAATAATTTCGTTGTTGATTTCCATTTGATGAAGTATCCTTAAATGGGAGACGAATCCACATCACATTCCACGATTGAATTGCAAGGGGACTACTGGGCGGTGGGGGAGGATTAGTGTTGGAAGGGGGTGGGAAAAGTCCTAGATAATTAGATTAGTTTTATTTTTTCAGTTCAATCAATTTTAAAATTTTCCGACAAAAAAAAATCAATTTAAATTTTTTTAAAATGTCATTAAAAAATAGGGTTTGTCCAATATAGGTCCCTACAATTTCTATTTCCTAGACATATACCCATCATTCTATAAATCTATGTGTAAAACCCAATTTCAAACTTAAATGACCAGTAAGATATAAGAGGTCGTAGTATTCCTATGTTTTTACATCATTGCCATCATATTTCATATTTTATTTATAATTAATTCCAAGCATTTCATTAACTGCTACAATTGTAATTAAAACTCCCTATTAATAGCATATCAATCACCCCATTTCTTTTGGTTGCCATTCCCTCTAACATATCGCCCCCTAAAATTGCAAACCAAAAATATATATATGTAAATTACATGTCTAATAATGTACATATGAAAAATATAAATATAAATATATAGGTATATTATTTACCAAATTTTTTTTAAAAAAAATAGGTCAGTTACTTTGTAATTGATA